GGATTCCTAAGTATTCCTACGGATTGCCTCTCAGCCTCAGCCTCATTCCTAAGCCTACGGATGCCTCAGCCTGCCTCAGTTTCAGCCTCAGCCTCAGCCTGCCTCGGCTTGCCTCAGCCTCAGCCTCAGCCTGCCTCGGCCTCAACCTCAGCCTGCCTCAGCCTCAGCCTCAGCCTGCCTCGGCCTCAGCCTCAGTCAGCCTCAGCCTCAGCCTCGGCCTCAGCCTCAGCCTGCCTCAGCCTCCCCTCCTCCCCCCCCCCCTTCCCCCCCCCCATTCAGCCTCACCTTGTCTCAGCTTCGGCCTGCCTCGGCCTCATCCTCAGCCTCAGCCTCAGTCTCAGCCTCAGCCTGTCTCGGCCTGAGCCTGCCTCGGCCTCAGCCTCAGCCTGCCTCAGCCTCAGCCTGCCTCAGCCTCAGCCTCAGCCTGTCTCAGCCTCAGCCTGCCTCAGCATCAGCCTCAGCCTCAGCCTCAGCCTCAGCCTCAGCCTGCCTCGGCCTCCTCAGCCTCAGCCTCAGCCTCAGCCTGCCTCGCCTCAGCCTCAGCCTCAGCCTCAGCCTCAGCCTCAGCCTTCAGCCTCAGCCTCAGCCTCAGCCTCAAGCCTCAGCCTCAGCCTGCCTCAGCCTCAGCCTCAGCCTCAGCCTCAGCCTCAGCCTCAGCCTCAGCCTCAGCCTCAGCCTCAGCCTCAGCCTCAGCCTCAGCCTCAGCCTCAGCCTCAGCCTCCTCAGCAGCCTCAGCCTTCAGCCTCAGCCTCAGCCTGCCTCAGCCTCAGCCTCAGCCTCAGCCTCAGCCTCAGCCTCAGCGTCAGCCTCTCAGCCTCAGCCTGCATCAGCCTCAGCCTCAGCCTCAGCCTGCCTCAGCCTCAGCCTCAGCCTGCCTCAGCCTGCGTCAGCCTCAGCCTCAGCCTGCCTCAGCCTCAGCCTGCCTCAGCCTCAGCCTCAGCCTGCCTCGGCGTGCCTCAGCCTCAGCCTGCCTCGGCCTCAGCCTGCCTCGGCCTCAGCCTGCCTCAGCCCGGGCATTCAAAATATGGCACAGGACTGGTGTTCTGGGAACACGAAGATCACGAAGTGGCCTACAGTTGGCTCCGGGCAATGAAAATATGGTACAGGAATAGTGTTCTGGGAACACGAAGAACACGAAGTGGCCTACAGTTGGCTCCGGGCATTCAACATGTGGCCTGGGAATGGTGTTCTGGGGAAACGAAAAAAACGAAGTGGCCTACAGTTGGCTCCGGGCATTCAACATGTGGCCTGGGAATGGTGTTCTGGGAACACGAAGAACACGAAGTGGCCTACAGTTGGCTCCGGGCATTCAACATGTGGCCTGGGAATGGTGTTCTGGGAACACGAAGAACACGAAGTGGCCTACAGTTGGCTCCTGGCATTCAAAATGTGGCCTGGGAATGGTGTTCTGTTGGCTCTGTGCAGTCAAAATGTAGCCTGGGATAGTGTTCTGGGGAGTCCCCGGATTCCCCCGGCATCGGCCCAGACACCCCTGAGGAGTCCAGATGCTTTCTTTTGACCCCACTAGAAACCTATCAGTCTTCGCTGTTAGGTAATATGATGATGGTGCTGCTGATGCTGCTGCGGATGATGATGATGATGATGATGATGATGATGATGATGATGATGATGATGATGATGATGATGATGATGATGATGATGATACGCATGATGAAGCTGCTGTTAATGATGATTCGGATGACGATGATGATGATGATGCTGATGTTGATGTTGTTGGTGGTGGTGGTGATGATGACGATGATGACGTTTTTGATGATGATGATAATGATGATGCTGATGCTGATGCTGATGTAAATGGATGATGCTGTTGCTGCTGCTCATGACGATGATGACGATGGTGATGGTGATGCTGATACTGGTGACGATGATGATGATGAGGAGGAGGAGGAGGAAGAGGAGGAGGGGGAGGAGGATTATGATGATGCTGCTGATGATGATGAGGCTGCTGATGATGATGATGATGATGATGATGTTGATGATGATGCTGATGATGATGATGATGATGATGATGATGATGATGATGATGTTGCTGGTGCTGATGCTGGTGCTGATGCTTATTCTGATACTGCTGCTGCTGATGATGATGATGATGGTGATGCTGGTGATGCTGGTGGTGATGATGATGATGATGATGGTGATGCCGATGATGATGATGATGATGATGATGATGATGATGATGGTGATGATGATGGTGATGATGATGATGACGATTCTGATGATGATGATGATGATGATGATGATGCTGATGCTGATGATGATGATGATGGTGATGATGATGATGCTGATGCTGATGCTGATGCTGATGCTGATTATGATGATGATGATGATGATGATGATGATGATGATGATGATGATGATGATGATGATGATGAGGATGAGGATGAGGATGAGGATGAGGATGATGATGATGATGATGATGATGATGATGATGATGATGATGATGATGATGATGATGATGATGATGATGATGATGATGATGATGATGATGATGATGATTTCTCATCTCGTTTTGGCCGCCTCGAGGCTGTCTTGGCCTCCTGTGAGGCAGTCTTGGTGGTCCCTTGGGGCACGCTTGGGCCGTCCTTTGAGGCCCTCTTGGCGGTACGGTGGGTGTCTGGGGGCTGTCGTGTGGCCGTCTTGGCGCCGTCTTGGGCCATCGAAGGGCCTTCTAAGGCCGTCTTGGGTCCCACGGGAGGCCCTCTTGGGGCCGTCTTGGGGCCGTTTTGGATGCCTTTTGGGCCATCGTGGAGTCTTCTTGGGCCGTCTTGAGCTGACGGCAGCCCGAAAACGCGAAAATGCGAAGATCATTCAGACACCCGGGGGGAATCGACGCTTCTGGCTTCTCCGGACTCCGTTGGAGGTCTTCTTGTGGCCATTTTCATTTCATTTCATTTCATACCGCTTGCGGCGACGTCCAGTCCGGCGCCCGCGCCCGCGCCCGCGGACGCGCCGCGCCGTGCCGTCAGCCCCCGCGGCGGCTCACTCAGCCCTCACCTGGACGCCGCGGGCAGTGGAGAGAGCCGCTAGGTGGCCCCGGTTTGGTGGAGGTCTTTCACTCCCCATCGTTGGCCCCCCAAAGAGTGTGAGTGCTCACCAGACCGGGCCGCCCATGGGCCCCGGCTCACACCGGGGGCGCCCATGCGTCGCCCCAGGGCCTGGTCAGCGGTGCAAGTGCAGGCATCGCGGGGAGACAGCTAGCAGAAGCAGCAAGCGACTGAGCTCCGCACCCTCCCCCGCATGCCCTGGGGCCAACGGTCAGACATGGCGAGCGCATAGACCACAAGGCGAAAGGCAACCAATGGGTCCAAGGGATGCCGCGCACGCCCATTGCAACCCAGAGGTAGCACGAGGTCAACAGCCCGGCGGAAGCCCGGTGAGACGGCCCGAAGAGACGGGGAACGGGGGCAGAAGTCCCCACAGGCACGGCCCGAGCGCGACCAAAATTGCCCCGTGGCCAGCAGGGCGGACTGGCCTGGCCCCGTCAGACCACCCAAGGAAAAAACACGAAGAGGGGGCGAGGGGGGGAAAGGGGAGGAACGAAGCAGGGCACACTGACACGAGGCGCGGGGCTGTCCTGGCGCGTAGCAGGCGGCGGCAACCGGGGACCTGGCCGCTCACTGCGACTCACTATGAGCCCGTGCCGGGTGGCTGACTTCACCTTACCACCCCACACCACCCCCTGGGCAACGACGGGAGCCCTCCCCACCCACCGGGCCCTGTCCAGGTGCGGCGAACGCCCCTGGCGCCCCAGGGCGTGCAACGCAGAGGAGGCGGAGAAAAGAAAAACGGGGGCGGGAGCAGGGCTTTCCACCCGAACACCCAGAACTGGGCTAGACGCGGTGCACGCCCTTTGCACCCTAAAAGCGGCGCGCGGTCTACAGGCTGGCGGAAGCGAGGGGAGGGAGGCAGAACAGCAGCAGCGAGAGGAGAGAACGCAAGCCGTACGCGCTACCCCAGGTTACCCCAAGTGCGCCCTGCAAATCGCTACGGCAACATAGCGGACTTGTGCCACGCGCGTCTCTTCAGGCACCCCTTCCCTAAACAGTTGGAACAAAGCGAGGTCGCGCGCAGAGGGGGCAGGGAGAGCAATAGCCGGCCATTCGGGGCCCTCTTGGAGGCATCTTGGGCCGTCTCGGATCAACATTCGACCGCCTTGGGGCCATCTTGGGCCGTACTCGAGGCAGCTTGGGCCATCTTGGTGCCCTTGGTTGCCTGCGCGGGCCGTGCAGAAGCTCGGGGCGCACACACTTTGTTGTCAACGAGGGATCGCGGCTTGGGAGGCCCTGGAGCCTGGAGCGCTTGGGAGCAGCGCCTGGGAACGCGGGAAGTGCACGATCCTCGAGTGGGCGCGCGTGGGATGAGCGGACTGGGAGCCAGCAGCCACGCGGGAAGTGCAGAATCCTCGAGCGGGCACGCGTGGAGTGAAGGCTCAGGCATTAACTGCTGTGCTGGAGGTGCACCATCTTCGAGCGGGCACGCGTGGAATGAGGGCTCAGACATTAGCTGCCGTGCGGGAGGTGCACCATCCTCGAGCGGGCACGCGTGGAATGGGGGCTCAGGCAGCTGCCATGATGCGCGGCTTCCTAAGGCTACTGGCATCCCTTCCCCCTTGGCCCATTCTTAGTTGCTTTCGCTGGCCGCGCCCCGCTCGCAAAGGGTCGACATGGCCCTCCGAGGCCCTGCATTCTTATATCGTGCGTCCTTACTGTGAGAGGTGGACTGTGTCCTTTCCTCGTGGGGGGGAAGCCCACGATCCGAATCTCGCCCTCGCCCTTCGCTATCCCCCCGCTGGGGAAACCAATCGGTACCGACACCGCTGCCCCCCGGACCTCCCCCTGGGTGCGTTCTGACACGAATTTCGGGGCGCATCCAGCGGTGGCGACGAGGGCCTCCCAGGAGTCCCCCCCGCGACCCACCCCGCGACCCACCCCGCGACCCACCCCGCGGCCCAAAAAAGGGGAGAACGGCCGAAGGGTAGAGGCATAGGTGCCTCTTCTGCCTCTGACCCGTGGCCCCCTCTGTCGCCCGACCCGAAGCAGCGCTCCTCCGGGCCTCGCCGAGCGGGCGCCCGCGGCCTGCGGCTCCGAGCGCCTCGAGGCGCCTGTCTCCGAGCTCGCGGGCGCGGCGCCGCCGCTGGGCGACTGCCCCGTGCTCTTCACCGGGCTGGGCGCCCTGGGGGCCTCGGAGGCCTCGGGGCAGAAGCGGCCCAAATCTCAGCCACGCGGCTCCTCCTCATCCTCCTCCGCCTCCTCCTCCGCCTCCTCCTCCTCCTCCGCCTCCTCCTCCTCCTCCGCCTCCGCCTCCTCCTCCGCCTTCTCCTCCTCCTCCTCCTCCTCCTCCTCCTCCTCCTCCTCCTCCTCCTCCTCCTCCTCCTCCTCTGTGGTTGCAGAGCCCCTGTCAGCCTCTCCTCCTCCTGCGCCTTTCTCTGTACTCCCTTGTGCGCCGCCATATCGGTTCACAGGGGCCCTTGGGCTATCATGGCGCGCAGGTGACGGACGCGCCCAGCCTCCGGAAACGGAAAGAGATACAATGCACAGGGGTAGCGGAGCCTGTGTTTGAGATCCACGAGGGGAAGCAGGACGACACCCTTGTCATTCGTTTTTCGGGTGACATATCCATTCCTATTCTCCCGTGTTTCCCGCTCTCTACCCCATTGCACCGAGCGCCGCCATGGATTCTCCTGACGACGTTCAGCATCAAGAAGGTGAATTTCCAGCATATCCTTGGTTGCAGCCACATCGGGATCCTTGGGCAGGAACTGGAGGACGACAAGACGTTCCTTGGGAAGGTGACGACGGTGTGGGCTGGTCAGATCAGGACTGGGCCCGCTGGGTTATCACAGCCATGGATGGAGACAACCCAATACGCAACAATCCCCATCGGGTTGGACTGGGCGGGGACGTGGTTCGCCGGCTGCACCAGATCGGCAGAACACGCCTTTGCGAGGACAGGCTGTGCCTTTCACTGATTTTTCTCCGACCCATTAGGGAGATACCACTGCCCGATCCGCTGATCGCCAACGGTGGCAATTTCCTGAACAATTGGAGGCGCCAGCAGGGACGATTTCCTGAACAATCGGTGAAGCTCCCTTCTTGTGCCACGAAACGGGGAAGGGTTCACCGAAATGTTGTTGCGGGGCTTCCATGCGGACCCTGCCGCTGGGGCCTTCGGTGGAGCTTTCAATGGGGCCATGAAGCGTGCCGAAATGGGCGCGGGGCCGCCATGCGGACCCTGCCTTTTAGGCCTTCGGCGGAGCTCCCAATAGGGGTTTACGAAAAAGGTGCGAAGGGTGTGCCAACATGGGCGTGGGCCGCCATTCGAAAACCTGCCGCTGGGGCCTTCAGTGGAGCTCCCAATGGGGTCGAGAGGTGCGGCGCCGAAATTTTAGCGCGGGGCCGCCATGCGGACCTTGCCGTTGGGGCCTTCGGCGGAGCTTCCACAGGGTCTACGAGCGGTGTGAGGAGTGTACCGAAATCTTGGTTCGGGGCCGCCATGTGGACTCTGCCGCTTGGGCCTTCGCTGGGGCTCCCAATGGCAATGTGCCTCCCGCCCTGGTGGGAGTTTATTGGCACTAGGAGCTTACTTTCAGGGGAGTAGGATCCTACTCCCTGGGCAGAGTCTATTCCGGGTTGGACCGTATTGGGAAAAGGAGTGTACCCCGGGAACGAGTCTACTACCGCAGGAAGGGCCTATTCCCATTGGAGTAGGCGCCTGCGCCCCGGACAGAAGAAGCCTACTCCCAGGGGAGGAGCGTACCCCCCGGCGGTAGGCTCCTACCTGGAGTAGGAACCCGTTTTGGGCAGGAGCCTACTGCCGCAGTGGGAGCCTACTCGCAGGAGAGTAAGAGCTTACTTCCTGGGCAACAGGCTCCTACTCCGATGTAGGGGCCTACTCTGGTTAGGAGATTACTGGGTGTAGGAGCCTACTCTGGGTAGGAGCCCACTGCCGCAGTATGAGCCTTCGCCCAGGGGAGTAGGAGCGTACGAGCTTACTCCCAGGGGAGTGGGGGCCTATTCCCAGGTGAGTAGGAGCCTGCCCCCCGGGCAGGAGGCTTCTGCCTGGAGTAGAAGCCAACTGCGGGCAGGAGCTTACTGCCGCAGTAGGAGCCTATTCCCAGGGGAGGGGGCCCACTCTGGGTATGAGCCTGCTGCTGCAGTAGGAGCCGATTCCCAGGTGGGTAGGAGCCTACTCCCCGGGCAGTCGGCTCTACCCGGAGTAGGAGCCGACTAACACATCTGCTTGCAAGACCTCCGATCCCCAAAGCTTTCGCCCTCCTGACTTAGGTCCCCTCCCAAAGTGTTATGGGGTACTTGTATTGTTTGTCACGAGGGCCGAAATCGAGGAGAAGCGCCCAGTCATATCGTCGGAGATCTGGGGCCCTCCTCGTTCCCAGCCCCGGGGGCGTGCGCTCGTGGAGCGAGCATCACGCAGATCCGAGCTCGACCCCGCGCTGGCGATGGCGACGCTTGTCGGGTGCTTGCGCTCTGCTCTCGTGGCCTCCTCTCGTTGGTATCTTCTGCCGCTACCGATAAGTCGGGCCTGTCCCTCTACAGGAGGAAATTTAAAAAAATAGTGAAAAATAGTATGGGGACGATCTTTCCTTCATTTTGTGACTGTTTTCAGCAATTTTGGGAATTTGTTTTTATCTGTCGTCCAACATCCGCCTGTGGGGGGACATGCCCGACCTAACGCTACCGCAACTTGGGTCCAAGGCGCCGCCGAGCAGAAGAGTTGGTATCGTCTGCCCTCGCCTCCGGGAGAGGCGGCGCCGGCGTGGGAGCTCGCGTGGCGCGACGGGGCCCTGGCCTGGACGTGGGAGAGCCTGGCGCAGAGGCACGGGCAGGACGAAGCGGGGGGGCCCTGACGGCCTCTCGTCGAAGAAGAGCATTGCCAGATCGTGTGTTGGAACCCGCGTGACTGAGGATGGGAATTGCACATGTTGGAACGGGACTTCAACGTGAAAGTTGAAGCCGCAGGGCTGAACACCGCGGCCGCACAATCAATGATTGACTCAGCACCTCCAGAACTGAATCTTTGAATTTTGAGGAACTTCGATGTTGAGCTTTGGGCTCGATGAAATGGAGTGCACACTTGGTATCGAAGTTTCACGTTCAGTGTTGAACCTTCCGCCTCGCACACGGGCGCCTTGGCTTTGCTCCACCGGGTGTGTCCTCACATGAGTGGATCCAGCTCGATAGGTACCAAAAACAAGTCAAGAGGGGGGCCGGGAAAAGGGCCCAGATCTCCGACTCGCCGACGTGTGCTTTTTGTGCAGCCTCCGTTGGGGCCTCTTGGGGCTTCCTGTGGGTCTCTTGGGGGCCTCTTGCTTGGGGCCTTTTGGGGGGCCTACTTGGGGGCATCTGGGGGTTTCCTGGGAGCCTCTCAGGCCCAGGGCTCGAAATGTCCGTTCGGGTCCCCCGTCTGGGCTCCCTCTTGGAGCTGTCTTGGGGGCCTCTCGGGCTGTCTTGAAGGCTTCGTGGGCGGTCTCGGGGCCCTCTTGGGTCGTTTTCGGGCCCTCCTGGAGTCCTCTTGTGGCGATCTTGGAGGCCTCTTGGGCTGTCTTGGGGCGTCGGGAAGCGGACAAGGCGAGAACGCTAAAATCGTTCAAACACCTCAGGCAATAGATGATTTTTGCCCCTTGGAGCCCTCTTGGGAGTGCTCTTGGAGGCCACTTGGGGCGTTTGGAAAACTTCGCCGTCTGGAGGCGACTTTGGCGTCTTGGACCGATGGTTCGGCGATTCGGGGTCCTCGGGGGCTGTCTTGGGGGCCTCTGGGATGCGTATCTGGGTGGCGACCCACCCCTGGCGATCCCCCCCCCAGTCCCCCTCCCGGACCCCCCCCTGGGCGGGGAAGGGATCGAAGGGAAGGAGCTTCCTTTCGATTCAGCTACGACGTTGCCCAACGTCGCTTTGGCTGGCGCGCTTAAGGAGGAGGGCCCAGGGAAAGGAGACGGGGGACGACGGACACGACGATTGACGGAGACAACGAGGAGACGACGAGGAGACGGAGACGACCACGGAGACGACGAGGAGACGACGAGGAGACGACACTACGACGACGACGACGACGACGACGACGACGACGACGACGACGACGACGACGACGACGACGACGACGACGACGTCGACCAATAGAACAACGTTTTCCACACGCCGACAGGGTCGGCGGCCTTTTGGTTGCCTTGGGGGGCGCTCGCTGTGCCCTGGGACCGTTAATAATCTTACTCGCTTGCGTCTTTCGTTGGCTTCGGCCATCCGAGGCCGTGTCCAGTCTGGGGTCTACAGATGTAGGGCAGACGCCTTCTCTAAGAAGGCGCCTCCTTCTAAGAAGCCTTCCCCCCTCCCCCTTCCCCCCCCTTGCGCGCCGCCAATCCTGGGGCAGCGCTAGTTTCTTGTACTGGATGCGTTTTTTGAGTCCTCGGTGCCCGAGAGCAAGACCCCGAGGGCCGAAATCGAGGAAAGACCGGTGGCTGAGAAAAAAAACACATCGTTGGAGACTTGGTACCAGGGCCCATCCTAGCCAGCTTCCCGAGTCGCGTCCAGCCGTGGCGACGAGACCCTCAAGGGACAGCCACAACTCCGAGTCGTCGTCGTCATCGTCCTCGTCCTCGTCTTTGTCCTCGTTCTTGTCCTTGTCCACGTCCTCGTCTTCGTCCTTGTCCTCGTCCTTGTCCTCGTCCTCACCGCCGCCGCCGCCGTTGTCGTCGTCGCTCCCGTCCGTCCGTCGTCGTCGTCGCCGCCGCCGCCGCCGCCGCCGTCGTCGTCGTCGTCACCGCCGCCGCCGCCGTCGTCGTCGTCTTCGCCGTCGTCGTCGTCGTCGTCGTCGTCGTCGTCGTCGTCGTCGTCGTCGTCGCCGTCCTCCGCCCCGGCCCGCGAGGCACGGGCCCCTGGAGGTGCCGCTGCGCAGCGTGGGCAGCGCGCTCCTCGCGCAGTTCTCCCACGCGGAGCTCCCCGACGCGCGGGCGCCACATGCCCCGCGCCGCCCGCTGGCGTCGGGCGCCGCGCGCCTCGCGGACTTCCTGGAGCTCGGTGGGAGGAGGGAGGAGGAGGAGGAGGAGGCGGAGGAGGAGGAGGAGGAGGAGCTACAGGTTCGGGGGAGGAGGACGGGGAGGAGGAGGAGGATGTGGAGGAGGAGGAGGAGGAGGAGGAGGAGGAGGAAGAGGAGGAGGACGAGCTACGGGTTCGGGGGAGGAGGACGAAGAGGAGGAGGAGGAGGATTGCAGTGCAGTGCTGATGCCATTCATTAGGGCGGGTATAACCCTTTTGAATCGGATGGGGCACTTGGGCTCTCCCGCCCTCGAAATGGGTGCTCGATGTGGTGGGTGATATGCGTGTAGCGCATATCCTTTGGCAGCCACCTCTGCCTCTGGCACCGCGACCGGGGGGGTCAACGCATGTGGGTCAGACGTCCCATCATGAGGGGACGACGATGATGGACCCAAGCATGATGTGTGACAGCAGCGTGTGTACATGTGAGCCCCATGTTGTGTCACCGTTGGCGCCAACAGGATGTACCGAACCGAATTTAAGCACCCCGGCGGGTGCAAACATAGCTCGGTCGTCAAGTGTCGGTCCTCTTGGGATGCCGACGGAGCTTGTGCGGAAACTGTCTGGGGCATAGGTGGCCGCCTCCCAAGGGTGACACCGGCCGATCGGCGTTGAGGAGCCCTGTGGCGACCTAAACGGTCGCCTCCTGGGTCCATGGGTGGGGGCCTAGGATTGTGGACGTACCCAATTCTGACCCCGTCCAGGTCCAGGGCAGCCCCACTCCCGAGGTTTCACAGCTACGCGGCCAAGACGAGGTTCCGATGTTGGCACCTGGTACTGGTGGGTGATATGCGTGTAGCGCGTATCCTGTGACAGCCACCTCTGCCTCGTAGCCCCGTGACAAGGGGGTCAACGCTTGTATGCGTCGACCCCGTGTCAACGCTTGTACAAGCGTCGTCCTCTCATGCTGGAACGTCTGCCCTACGTGGGGCAGACGTCCTAGCATGAGAGGTCGACGAATGAGGAGGAGAAGGAGGAGGAGGAGGAGGAGGACGAGGAGGAGGACGAGGAGGACGAGGAGGACGAGGAGGACGAGGAGGATGAGGAGGAGGGAGGAGGGAGGAGGGAGAGGGGAGGAGGGGAGGGAGGGAGGGGAGGGACGGAGGGAGGGAGGAGAGAGAAGGAGGAGGAGGAGGGAGGGAGGTTGGGAGGGGAGGGGAGGGAGTGAGGGAGAGAGGAGATGGGATGAGGATGAGGATGAGGATGATGATGATGATGAGGATGATGGAGGAGGAGGAGGAAGGAGGAGGAGAGGAGGAGGAAGGAGAGAGGAAGGAGGGGAGGAAGGCGGAGGAGGAGGAGGGAGGGAGGAGGAGGAGAGGAGGGAGGAGGAGGAGGGAGGAGGGGGAGGAGGGGAGGGAGGAGGGAGGAGGAGGAGGAGGAGGAGGAGGAGGAGGAGGAGGAGGAGGAGGAGGAGGAGGAGGAGGAGGGAGGACGAGAGCGCTCTGAGACTGTTGTCTTATCCCCTGGCGGTAGCGGGCGTGGCTGGGAGGGGGAGAGGGGAGATGGGGAGCGGGCTGGTCACGTCACGATCCGAGCCGGCCCCGTCTGGTAATGCTCACACGAGTGGCCGATGCCTATACGGCGCTGGTGCGAATCGTGACGTGACCCGGGGGGGATGGGATGGGGATTGGGCCAGGGCCGGTCACGGGTGCTCTCGCGAATGATGCGCTCTACCCTTCCCTCGTTTTCGGCTGTTTGGGGCCTCCTGGCTTGCGTTTCCTTCACGCCGTGCGTTCTTGGCTTGCGTTTCCTTCACGCCGTGCGTTCTCGCCCAGTTTCGCCGTTTCGGGCTCCGGTGCCCTCAGATCGATCTGGGTCGACAGAAGCGGCTGAAATATGGTGTCCAGGGCTCCGGTCGTGATTTTTCCCTGGCTTCGGATCCGCCGATATTTGGCTGATTATCCGAACTCGAATTGTGTCGGAAATGCACCCCGAACGATGCGTAGGGCGGAATTGTCCGCCTCAGAAGTGTAGGGCGGATACTTCCATAAAGGTGCAGCAGAGACGGCGACGGCAAAGTAGAGCGGAAGTCGACGTCAAAGGAGCTCGAAAAGTAGGGCGGGAGTTTCCGCCCTATTGACGACATCCCACACAGTATGGCTGATCCGAAGTCAGGGAAGGTACCGCTGCGGCTACCTTTGCATCGTGTTGGCCCTTCCTGGCTTCCTGGGACGCACCCCAGGAGAGCTCCAGGGAGCAGCGGTCCCAGACCCCCGACGTTGCGACGTCGTGTTTTTTTTCATGACGGGCGCCCCCCAACGGTCTGGACCCATTCCTGGGACCAGCTCTTCGTCCCGGGCTTGTTTTTGTTGACGACCCCGAGGGTCAGTGCGGGCCCCCAGAGGCCGAAGGTCAGGAGGGGAAAAACACACACAGACACAATTCCCAGGAAAATATGGGAAAATCTGGGAAGTGGGGGGGGGGGAAGACAAACACCCAGGAAATATGAGCAAATATGGGGAATGTTGGCATTTGTGCGTATCTATTTGTGTGTCCTTGGGCCCCTTCAGAAGGTGGCGAGAGGCCTCCCTTCGCGATTCGTGCGCGGCTCGAGGGGCTCGCGGCGCCACGTTTGGGTTTCCCCAGGAGGGCGCGCGGCGGAACCTCTCGCGGGAGCAGGCGGCCCGCGGGATTCCAATGCTAGGCAGCGGTCGCAGATAATTAGCGATCCCAGGCATTTCTCCGAGGCCGGCGCGGAGGAGGCGCCGGCCTCAGGAGGGGCCAAGTCCGTGCGGAGTGCTCGGTCGCTCCGTCTGGGCTTGTGCGCTGTCTGGGCTGCCCAGACAGCATCGCGCAGCGAAGAGAAAATCAGGACGGGAGGTTGTTGGCCGTTCTCGGCCTCGGGGGGCCCTCGCTGGGCCTCGGGACCATCATAAACCGACTCGGGATGAAAAACTGTTCCTGGGGAGGGGGTTGGGGCTTCCAGGGGCCCCGTATACAAAAGAATTAGGACCTCGCATGTCTGGGATTGGCAGCTCGTGGGCTCCAGCGCCGGGGAGGGGGACCAAGCACGAAGCAGTGATATACCCTCCTGAAGCACGGTGGCTGTCAAGCCCCCTATTCGGGCGATCGCAAACATGGATCAAGGGGGCGTGGATTAGCGACGGGTCCCGGTTGCATGGGAGATCGCGGATTTCCGCCGCCGAGCGAGGCGGCACCGGCCTCATTTTGGGGAGGGCACCTCCCCGGATCCGCGGATTTGGCGACCGCGCGCCAAATCCATGGAGCGCTCATCCATGCTTGCGCGCCCCCGAGTCAAGCCCCCTCCGTGAGATCGCGGGAATTCCCATCATCGTTCCTGACGGCTAGTGGATCGATCTCCAACTCCGCTCGGCGAGCCCAGCAAAAAGCCGCTCGGGGTGCGGAGCCGGCCCCAGGGAGAAGGTCCAGACCTCGACGGGGACCCGCGTGGTTCGTGCAGTCGTGAGGGGGGGTCTGGAGTTGAGTCGGGCGTGTCCATCTACAGGAGGACTATTTAACAATAGTACAAGAAATAGTCAGGGGACGATTTTTCTAGTATTTTTGAGATCATTCTGGAATATTGTTTGAACTATTTATTATTTTTCGCCGAAAATCGGCCTGTGGGGGTGGACATGCCCGACCTAAGTCTAGAGTCCAGAGAGGGTGTTAAGAAATGGGAGCCCTCCGGGGCCTGTTTTTTGGGGCGCCCTGAGGGCCTCTTTTTTCGGGTCCTTGGAGGGTCCCTTTCGGGTCCCGTTCTTCGCCTCCCCTTCAGGTCACCCGCCCCCCCCCCCCCTCAACGACCGCCCGAGCGGTGCAGAGGTCACGGCGTCGGAGATCTGGGGCCCTCGGTGGCCCTCTTTAGGCCAGGGGGGAAGGCCTAGTGGTAGGTAGGCCTGGGGTCAAGTTAGCCAGGTCGAGCGCATGAGTTCAGGCGATCGCAAACATGGATCAAGGGCGCGTGGATTAGCGACGGGTTCCGCTTCCGTGGGAGATCGCGGAGTTCCGCCGCCGAGCGAGGCGGCACCGGCAGCATTTTTGGGGAGGGCGCTTCCCCCGATCCATGGATTTGGCGACCGCGCGCCAAATCCATGGATCGCTAGTCCATGTTTGCGCGCCCCCGATGAGTATGGCATGCCCGGTCCCACCCGCCCTCCCACACACACATATCATAGGAAGCACTATCGGCACAACTGGGCAGTGGGACTGGCGCCTGTCCCGACGCCGGCGCAGCACCGCCACCCTCGCACGCAAGACGCTGCGCGGCGCGTGGGCGAGAGGTCAGCACTGCGCCCGCCTCGGCGCGGCCCCGCCGCCGCTGCCGCTTTCACGCGAGTCGGCGAAGGAGCCACGCGCCGCGCGCGCGCGGGGTCGCCACCTCCGAGCGACGTGCCCACGGAGCCTGGGCGAGGGCGACGCGGGTCGCCCGCTCGCGCGGGGCCGGCAGGCGGCGCACCGAGCGAGAAGCAGGCGCCCTCGCCGCGGCGGGAGCGCCGCCTCCGGCGGAAGCTGCGCGGAGCCGGGGCGAGGAGGGCATGGTCTTCTCGCACGCTCGCGCGTCGACGGAGGGGCGTGCGACGAGTGTGCGCCGCGCCCCAACGGGAGCTCCATTCTCTGGAGACGTGTGGGCGCCTCGCCGAGGCGAGGGCGACGGTTCGCCCCTCGCGTGGGCAGCCGCACCTCTGGCGGCGTGGATGGTGCAACGCGTATGTTTAGAGCAAAGGCGCAATCGCTGTATCGCTTCTGCAGGGTTGGATGGAACCACTCGGATTGGTCGGCTGCGACGCCCCGTCCCATTCCCGCCGCCGCCGACGACGACGACGACGCCGACGACGCCGACGCCGACGACGACGACGACGACGACGACGTCGCCAACGAAGTCGACGACGACGACGAGGGAGGAGGGAGGACGGCGACGGCGACAACGACGACAACGACGAGGGAGGAGGGAGGACGGCGACGACGCGAACGACGCAGAAGGAGGGAGGACGGCGACGCCGACGACGACAACGACGAGGGAGGAGGGAAGACGACGACGACGACGACGACGACGACGACGGCGACGAACTATGAGAAACGACGACGAGACGCCGACGACGGACGACGACGACAAGGGAGGAGGAAGGACGACCACGGCGACAACGACGACGAAAACGACGACGACGACGCCAAAGAGGACGACGACGACGACGAGGAAAGACAGAGGACGACGACGGCGACGACGACGACGACGAGGGAGAAGGGAGGACGGCGGCGCGCGCGTCAGTTTTTTAAGAAACCTGTGTTGCGAAACCATGTGTTCTTGTATGTCGTTTGAAACTCGATTTTGAAATCCTTCCGAGACCGGCGGTATTTGAAGGATTCCGGCATGCGCGCGCGACGACGCGCGCGTGTGCATTTCGTCCCATTTTTTGCAAGGGCTTCTTGACAATTTATGGTGTTTGATCAACGAGTGTGCGCGCATAGATTTGTTTGCAAGGGAACCGAGGGGGGGCCCGATACCGGCCTAGCTGGGATAGTATGAATTCACAGTTCGGATGGACGATGGGGCAGAATCATTTGTAAATTGCAATACGAAGAGGGGGGTCCTTGAGTCCGGGGGGGAGGTGGTGGAACCGAGCTCCTTTTGAGAAAGGAGAATTCGCAAGGGATAGGGAGAGGCCTGGGAGAAGCATCCCCAGGCGTGGGCCTGGGGGTGGTGCCTGGGGGAAGGGCCTGGGGGTGGGCCCAGGCGTGGGCCTCGGGGAAGTGCCACGGCGTGGGCCTGGGGGAGGTGCCTGGCCGAAGGGCCCAGGGGTAGGCCTCGGCGTGGGCCCAGGGGGACATGCCTCGGAGTGGGCCTGGGGTTGGCCTGGGAGGAGCGTGCTTCTTTATGGCTTGGGGCATACTGGGCATTATAACCCCTGGCCCCCACTCCCCCGCCCTCCTATAATGTAACGCCCCTCCCCCCCAGTGCGCTCCGGGCACTGCCGCCGTGCGCATCGGGCACACGGCGGGGGGGAGCGTTACATTATCCCCCCCCTTTCTGGCCCCCTCCCCCCCCTACAATGCCGTTATCGCCGAGAATCAAGAAACGCGCAGGGTTCGGGCGTAGGCCTGGGGGTGGGCCTTGTGGGGGAGTGCCCAGGCGTTAGGCCCGGAGCAGGCTTCGGTCCATGGCCCTCGCCGGGGCGCGGCCTCGGAGCGGCGCCCACTCTGCGAGCCGCCTCCCCCCCTGTCGCAGTTCGTTGAGGAAGCCCAAGCACGGGGGCCGTCAATTACTCCAGCCTCGGGTGCATCGATCGTCGAGCCGCGCACCCGAGGCCACTTGTGCATGATCGGGGTCGCCCTTGCGTGCGGCCGAGTGGCGGCTACGAGGGTCCTGGGACGCCTCGCTGCGCTGCCGTGGCATCTGACTTGTGGGTATGTGGCGTTTCTTGCTGGGGCTGCGCGCGAGCGTGTATCGAGCTGGTCTAGCACACGGTTGGCGTCGTCCAGGGGGAGCAAGTCCCACTCCAAGTCGCCTCTTGCAGGCCCATGCGGTGGGGGCGTTCGTTAGGAATGTGCCCGGGAGGCTTCAGATCCCGGAGGATGTCTCATCTGATGTGGGCGGCGGTGACATGCATGGCAAGGCCTCAGTTGGAGTTCCACATGCCTCCAGACCCTGTGCTCCTTACCCCAATGGGATACCTTTCATGCGAGGCCGTCACCGTATCGGCCACCCCCGCGGGGGCCTCGCGTGCCAGGGGCTCACGCTCGGGGGGCACATCGCCGGTCGGGGGCACACCGCCGAGCGCTGTCGGGGTCCCGTCGCCGAGCCGTCGGCCGTGCACCGCCGATCCCAGGTCGACGCTTCCCCCCCCACGAGAGCTGGTCCTCCCCACGCTGGTTTCGAGAGTACGCATTGCGCGCATGTGCGCATCATGCGGCCGGTCTCGAAGATCGAGGGGCCGTGTTCATGTGCATAGTTGGGCGCGTACGTCCGTTGTGGGCTCCCTCCCCTCACGTTGCCCCGCAGCTCGGCTGCGGGCATCCTCCCGAGCGGGTGCGCACAGGGCACGCAGGGTCAGGGTTCGCGCGCGTGCTTGCCCGAGGTGTTCGTGGTCGGCCAGGCGGAGGCGGCGGCAGTCGGGCAGATGGAGCAGGACTTCCCCCGCCCCCCTGCGCTGCGCGGCTGGAAGAACGCGGTCCTCTCCATCGGTGCCCACAACGCCTCGGCGGCCTTCCACACCCACCACGCCGCGTGGCTGGCGACCGTCCGCGGTCGGAAGCGGTGGTACCTCTACCAGCCCAGCACCGTGCCCTTCGGCGTGGACGAGCGCTACATGAGCTCGAGCTGGTGGGAGGTCGCGGATGCTCGCGTCGGCCAGTGCTCGCATGCTTCGGTCTCGGACGAGAGTTGCCAGCAGTTCCCGCCCCCAGTCGTTTACGACGTCGCCGAAGGGCAGGCTCTTTACGTCCCGATGGGCTGGTGGCACGGCACGGTCAACGTCGGCGCCACCATTGCCGTCGGGTACCAGGACCCGAAGAATAACAAGCAGCATAAGCACCACAAAAACATACTTGTCGGAGGTCTGCACGGGTTTCTTGGCTCTGTGCTGGCACCCTCCGCACGCCAGGGTTGCAGTTCTCCTTCTTCTCCTTCTGCTGTGAGGTCGGGGGCAGCGTTGGGGGGGGGGATCGGCTCAGGGGGGAACTCATCGACCCCAATTGCCCATTCGGCGCTGTAACGCGCCGGGAGGCCACCCCGCCTGGGAACGTCCATCTTCGCCATCGAGGGCCTATCTCCGATTCGCCAGCGATGCATCGCCGATTCGAGCTCCATACCCCCCCCCGTGGCCAGCCCCCCCGATTCGCAGACTCACTCACACTCACTTGCACTCACACTCAGACTCTTCACACTCAGATCACTCATCATCAGACTCCCGAACACTCAGATACACACACTCAGACTCACTGACACTCAGTCACACTCACTCTCAGGCCCACTCCCACTCACTCTCATTCAGATCCGCGCATATTCAACCAAGCCATATTCTGACTCATACGCGCATCACTGATGCAGCAAGAGCTCCATGCTCATGGCGATGTAGCAGTCGTGGCATTTGAATACCCCATGGGGGAGCCGCCAAGAGTGGGGACACGTGCCCGTTCGCTCCCAGGTTGTGGGTCTGCCTCGAGCGGTTTGTCTGTCTGGTTGATCAGACGTCTCTCTTTTCAGATCCCCATGCTCATCGCGATGCAACAGGAGTGGCGGCATTTGTGCACCCCATGGCGGAGCCGCCAGGGGTGGGGATATGTGTCCGTTCGCGTTCACATGGCGGGTATGTCTCGAGTGGTTTACCTGTTTGGTTGATCCGACTTCTCCTTTCTTTTTTAGAGCCTCATGCTCATCGCGATGTAGCGGGCGTGGTGTTTGAGATCACCCGAGGGTGGAGCCGCCAAGGGGTGGCGATGTGTACCCCTTCGCGTTTGAATGGCGGGTCTGACTCAAACTGCTTGCCTGTTTGGTTGATCGGACTTCTGTCTGTCCTCCTCCTCCTCCTCCTCCTCCTCCTCCTCCTCCTCCTCCTCAGAAGTAGCCTCGGGCGCCGTGCTGCCCTCCACGATGCCTCCGCGCTGCTGCGGGAGCGTCAGCCTGGCGGCTCGGCCTGGGTGCTCACGGGCGTGCGCTCCCAGGCACGCGAGGACTCGCAGGCGCACCACTTGAGCACCCCAAGGGGGGAGCCGCCAGCGAAAGCTGAGTCGCCGCAGGCCGATCTTCCTTTCTGCTCAGACGCTTACTCCAGGTCTCTCAATGAGCGTGGGGGGGGGGGTAGATCGCGTGGGGGGGTGTGACCCCGCTGTCCTTCGGGGGGCGTGGGGAGGTTGGGGAGCGAGAGGAGGTGGGCTTGGGGCGCGTTGGGGGGCGGGCAAGGGGCGTCGTCGGACAGGTTGGCACGGCGGGGGGGGGATTGAAGGATCGGGAGTACAGACGGGAGTGCCGTGAACTGCCCATGTGGAGGTCTCCGCGTGGACTATTGATGGCCCTGGGGCCCAGCGGCGGCCCCCATGCCCAAATCGAGGGCAGAGCGCCGGCTGAAACATCAGCATCATAGCGTCGGAGATTTGGGTTGTTGCCCCTCGCAAGGACTCGCTGCAGGGCTCCGCGACCATGAAGGACTACAAGCGCCTCCTGCAGGCGGGCTTCGGGTGATATTCTCATGCGGCACGCTCGCTTCCTTTTTGAGGCCGCGGTTCGCAGCATGAGTCTGCCAATCGCAGGTCGGTCCGTGTGGGGTTCCCGGTTTGCCTCGCGACCATCTGATTCGTCATCTGGTTGAGGCGGAGTCGTGTGAAGGTCTGTCGTCGCGCTTCCCTCGTCGCCGCCGTCGTCCTCCTCCTCCTCCTCCTCCTCCTCCTCCTCCTCCTCCTCCTCCTCCCTCCTCCTCCTCCTCCTCCTCCTCCTCCTCCTCCTCCTCCTCCTCCTCCTCCTCCTCCTCCTCTCCCTCCTCCTCCGCCCTCCGCCCTCCTCCCTCCTTCCTCCTCCCTCCTCCCTCCTCCCGCCTCCCTCCTCCCTCCTCCCTCCTCCCTCCTCCCTCCCCCTCCTCCCTCCTCCCTCCCCCTCTCTCCTCCTCCCTCCTCCCTCCTCCCTCCTCCCTCCTCCCCTCCCTACTTCCCTCTCCTCCTCCTCCTCCCTCCCCCTCCCTCCTCCCTCCTCCTCCTCCCTCCTCCCTCCTCCCTCATCCCTCCTCTCTCCTCCCTCCCTCCCCCCCCCTCCTCCCTCCTCCCCCCCCTCCTCCCTCCTCCCATTCCTCCCTCCTTCCTCCGCCTCCTTCTCCCCCCTCCCCCCTGCTCCCTCCCTCCTTCCTTCCTTCCTTCCTTCCTTCCTCCTCCTTCTCCTCCTCCTCCTCCTCCTCCTCCCTCGTCCTCCTCCTCTCCTCCTCCTCCTCTCTTCCTCCTCCTCTTCCTCTGCCTCCTCCTCCTCCTCCTCCTCCTCCTCCTCCTCCTTTTCCTTCTCCTCCTCCTCCTCCTCCTCCTCCTCCTCCTCCCTCCACCCTCCTCCCTCCTCCCCTCCTCCTCCTTCCTCCCTCCCTTCCTTCCCCCCTACCTCCTCCTCCTCCTCCTCCCTTCTCCTCCTTCCCTCCCCCCTGCTCCTTCACCCTCCCTCCCTTCTCTCCCCCCTCCTCACAAGAGCTTAGCGCCCCCTGCAGGCCTTCCCGCGCACGCCCCACGCGGAGGTCTCCCTCGCCCTGCGCCTCGCCGAGCGCGCCGGCCGGCGCGGCGAGCCGCCGCCCCCGCGCAGCCTGGAGCTGTCGTCCCGCGCCGCAGACAGGGGGTCGCCAGCAGACCACCTCTCGTCCTCCTCTTCCTCCTCTCCTCCTCCTCCTCCTCCTCCACCTCCTCCTCCTCCTTCTCTTGCTCCTCCTCGTCTTCCTCTTGCCTTACCCATCACTCCGCACTCCTTATGTCCTCCCCCCCCCTCCTCCCGCCCCCTGCCCCCGTTTTTCTCAGATGCCCCTCCCTCTATCCAAGCCGCCGCTCGTCCTTGTCGTCCTGCTGCTCCTCCTCCTCCTCCTCCTCCTCCTCCTCCTCCTCCTCCTCCTCCTCCTCCTCCTCCTCCTCCTCCTCTTCCTCCTCCTCCTCATCCTCCAGAAAGTGCCGAAACTCGAGGGTTTTTCCTCGCAGCGGGTCCCGGGAGACACTCGTTCGACACTTGTTCGATACTATTTCGACACTTCTCTGGGTGCTCGAAATCGCTTCTGAGATGTGGTCCTCAAGTACGATGGGAGCAACTTAGCTCTCGGCCACGCGCAGAGGGGGATAGGGGGAGGGGGGAAGGCTTCTTAGACGCACCCCTGCTCAGAAGGCGCGGGCCTCGTCTGTAGATGCAAGGCCGGCGCCTTCCAAGAAGCGGCCTCCTTCTAAGAAGCCTTCCACTCTCCCCCTGCCCCCTTGTGCGCGCTGCAAAACCTAACCGACCCGGATCTCCGACGAGGGGGCGAGGCTTCCCGACGTTTCCGTTGGATCCCGATCGTTTTCCACCCTCGGGGTGCTTCTCAGCGGCCGCACCTCGTCGAGAGCATTCCAGGGGTGCCATCATCGTCCCAGACGGCCGCTGGAGAGCCGAGCTATGGCCCGAAGATGCAGATCTCCGACGACATGCCTTTTTTTAGCCGGCGGCTTCCCTTCGGCTTCGGCCCTCCTCCTTCTCCTCCTCCTCCTCCTCCTCCTCCTCGTCCTGGGGGAACGCTGTGCCTCCTCCTCCTCCTCTTCCTGGGGGAACGCTGTGCCTCCTCATCCTCCCCTTCCTCCTCTTCCTCCTCGTCCTCCTCCTCCTCCTCCTCTTCCTCCTCCTCCTCCTCCTCCTCCTCCTCCTCCTCCTCCTCCTCCCTCCTCCTCCTCCTCCTCCTCCTCCTCCTCCTCCTCCTCCTCCTCTTCCTCCTCATCCTCCTCCTCCTCCTCCCCTCCCCTCCTCCTCCTCCTCCTCTTCCTCCTCCTCCTCCTCCTCCTACTCCTCCTCCCTCTCCTCCTCCTCCTCCTCCTCCTCCTCCTCCTCCTCTTCCTCCTCCTCTTCCTCCTCCTCCTCCTCCTCCTCCATCTCCTCCTCCTCCTCTTTTCAGCGGGCGGCTTCCCTTCGGCTTCGGCCCTCGGGAGGCCGCGGTCGGGCCTCGCCGGCCACCAGGAACGGAGCCGGGGCGAAAGGACCGACCCCCCTATAGGGAAGCGGTCGGGACGTCCGAGTCCGTGGATAGAAGGAGGCGGAGGAGGAGGCGGAGGAGGACGCGGAGGAGGACGCGGAGGAGGACGCGGAGGAGGTGGCGGAGGAGGAGGAGGAGGAGGAGGAGGAGGAGGAGGAGGAGAAGGAGGGAGGGAGGAGGAGGAGGAGGACCAGTGTAAACCCACGAGCAAACGAATGTGCGCGGCGCTGAGGCGAGAGCCACATTTTGAAAACGGGTTATCCTCAATCGGTAAAGCTCTTGCAAATTGTTAGCACGAATGTGCGCGGCGCTAAGGCGAGCACCCGCCCTCCATCTGTGAAACTGTTGCCAGTTTTCACGCTTCAGAGCCATACATGGTGAGGAAGTCTCAGGCGAAACGCCCGACCCGCCCTAAAAACTTGCTTCGGGGTGCGACAGGGAGGCATCTTGTATAAGGACAAGGAATGGAGGAGGGGAGGAGGAGGCAGAGGAAGAAGAGGACGCGGAGGAGGTGGCGGAGGAGGTGGCGGAGGAGGAGGAGGAGGAGGAGGAGGAGGAGGAGGAGGAGGATGCCAGTGGATCCTGGCCGCTCAGGTGACGTCGGAGCTCAGCGGGCCCTGGAAACGACGGGCCAGCTTTTGTTCCCGGTGCACTGCTTTTCGGGAGGGGTGGGGAGCTCCCGCTGGTTTTGGAAGGTTTTCCCGTCTCGGTATATGCTTCCGGCTTTCCAGCAGCTGCGCTTCGCGGAGGGCTTTCCGGGGTTGCCCGGATCGTTCCGAGCGCGGTCGCCAGAGGCCTGAGTTATGACCCGAAAGCCGCCAGGCTTCGAGGGGGATGAAGATTAGAGGTGTGTGCCCCGACCTTGGCCGCCCAAATGAGATCGGAGGTTAGTGGGCCCTGCAATCGACTGGACCCTTCCTTTTTTGTTCTCTCTTTCTTGTTCTTCACTGCAGTGTTCGTTTCTGGTTCCGTCGCCGCTTTTGTTTCCGCTTCCGTTGCCGCTTGTGTGGGTCCAGTTGCCTGCGGCGAGCCTCGCCGCCGTGCCTGTGCAACAACAGCGTAGCAGGAAGGAGTCTGAATTCTTCACTCTTCGCGTATCCCCGCCGGGCTTCGCCAGGGTGTGGCCCTGCACCGAGTGGTTCAGCCTTCTGCAGTCCGTGGCCTACCCCCAGCAGATCAGTGTGCATCAGCCTCCGTCAGTACTTGCATCGTTGTGCCCCCGAACCGCGAGAGTCGGATACGTTGTGTATGCACTGACTACAGGCTCGGCTCTACCTCGTGTGCGCAGACCGGCGTTCTTTCTCATGCGAAGGACGGGCTTCTGCCACACCTCTGCGTCAGTGAGCCATGGTGAGTGAGGCCATTCTCTGCTCGCTGCCCTCTTTTCTTGGCGCTGCCGCGTGCCCCGGCTGGCGTACACTCTTGCACCCTTTCTCGCTCTGGCCCCGCTTCCATTTGTAAAGCGGCCGGTGTCAGGCGCCACCAGGCGACTTCCTGCCGTTCCTGCTCCGTCTCTGCGCCGGTCGCCGCGCGCGTCCCCACTCGTCGGGATGCTCGGCTGGACTCTATGGTCGCGTTGTGCTGCTGGTGCCTGTCGCCTAAAAGGGCGTCCTCGTCGCCGGCTCGCCGCCAGTCGCCGCGCGATGTCCCCACCGCCGGGACGTCTACGCCGGCCTTTGGCGTTTAATTTGGGTCGTTTTGTCCCTCGCATGTGCATGTGCCACTGCGGCCAATTAGCTTCGTTGGCGCCCCGTTCGTTGTTGACCCGCTTCCCGACATTTGCCCGGGAGCCGCGGCGGCTCAGCCGCCGACCAAAAAAAGTATCCCCGCCGGGCCTCCGCTTCCTGACCGTTGACTCGGAGCCGCTGACCAAAAAACGTATCCCCGCCGGCCCTGCGCGCTGGCTGTTCGTCTCAGTCTCAGTCGCCCCTGCCACCCGCCCGCCGCTGGGCCGCCGCGTGAGGCCTCGGTTAGCTGCGTTAGACGTGGCCTGCCCTAGCTGCCTCCGCTTAATTCGTCGCTGCGTAGCCCCCTTTGACTTGACTCGCCGCTGGCGCGCTCGCCCGCGGCCGCTGTCTAAAAAATATCCCCGCCGGCCCATTCAGGAACGATGCCCAGGGGAACTGCCCTTACCAGGGGAGCGTGGCATCATGTAGTTTGCTTGGGGAGCCTGCGTGGCCCAGAGGCTCTTGGGGCGTCCTGGGTGCCTCTCTGGGGCCTCTCGGGGCCTCTTACGGGGGCCGCTCGGGGGCCTCTTGGATGCCTCCTGGGGGCATCTGGGGAGCCTCTCGGCGGGCCTCCTGGGGGTCTCCTGGGCCGCTTTGGGGCCCTGCTGTGGGTCCTGGGCCGCCTCTTGGGCCGTCTCTTGGGGCCTCTTGGCCGCCTCCCAGGGCGCCCTGGAGGCGCCCTGGGGCGCCTCTTGGCCCCTCGGGGGGCCGCGGGGGCCGTGGCGGGGTGGCGAGGCTCCAGGGGCGGGCAGGCCCGGGAGGGGCGAAGGCCGGGCGGAACACAGTTGGGGGCCCGGGCCAAGAAACCCCCTGCTGGCCGCCAGGGTGCCGCGGGTTTCCTCGGGGTGTCAATGGTTTTGCGATGGAGAGCGCGGCGCTCTCACACCAGAGAGCGATGGCCGCCCTGGGGTTCCAGGGTTGGGCTTTTCTTGTGGGAGGCTTCCTGTGGTCGGGCTCCTGCAGTAAGCCCATACTCAGAGGAGGAAGAGGTACCCCTACGGCTACCCTTGTCTCTTTGTCGCCATTTTGTGGGGCCTCCTCGGAGGCCCTCGTCGCCACTGCTGGATTCGCCTCGAAGTTGTGGCCAGAGCGCACCCCGGGAGAGGTCTGGGGAGCAGCGGTATCCGTGCCTTTTTGTTTCCCCAAATACGGGGACCGAGCCCTCCGTGTGGACCTACTCCGAATGGGCGGATTTCCCTATCAGCAGAGGCCAAGTCCTCACGGCGTAGGCCCATATGGAGACCGAGCACTTCGTGTGGACCTACTCCGTATGGACTTCAAGCGCCCTGTCAGGATAGAGGCCGGGTCCAGGTATGCGACGTCCTGATTTTTTTCCCTACGGGCTCCTTGGAAGTCCCGATCCTCTTCCCCAGGACCGGCGTTTCATCCCGAGCCGTTTTCTGACGGCCCCGAGGCCCGGCGAGGGCTCCCAGGGGTCGAACGCGGCCGAAGGCCCACCACCCACCAAACCACCCCAGCCCAACCCGAAGGTTTCAACTTGCCCTCCGTCTCCAGTGTGGGGGGGAACATAGGTAAAACACTTACGGAACCCGTGCCCCCCCCAACCCGCAATTCGGGTGCTCGGGCTGGGATGGGGTGGTCTGATAGGTCGTCAAAGTCTTCCCGCCGTGCCCCCCCCAACCCGCAATTCGGGTGCTCGGGCTGGGATGGGGTGGTCTGATAGGTCGTCAAAGTCTTCCCGCCTCTCCCGAGGCGGGCGATTCTGCGCGGCTCCTGGGGGCGGGCCCCTGGCCTGGCGTCCTTGCCCAGGTCTCCGACGAGGTGTTTTTTGTTCAGTCCAGGCGTTGCTCGTCCTCCTCCTCCTCTTCGTTCTCCTCCTCCTCCTGCTCCTCCTCCTCCTCCTCCGCCTCCTCCTCCTCCTCCTCCTCCTCCTCCTCCTGCTCCTCCCTTCTCCTCCGCCTCCTTCTCTCCTCCTCCTCCATCCTCCTCCTCCTCCTCCTCCTCCTCCTCCCTCCTTCTTGTCCTCCTTCTCCTCCTCCTCCTCCTCCTCCTCCTCCTCCTCCTCCTCCTGCTCCCTCTCCTCTTGCTCCGCCTCCTCCTCCTCCTCCTCCTCCTCCTCCTCCTCCTCCTCCTCCTCCTCCTCCTCCTCCTCCTCCTCCTCCTCCCCCTCCTCCTCCCCCTCCTCCAGCACAGGAGGCCTCGGGGGGCCGTCGTCGGGCCCCGGGGCCGTCAAAACATGGACCCGGGGCGCAAACCTGCTCCCAGGGGAGGGGTCGGGAGCTCTGGGGCCGCGGACTGAAGAAGTCGTAAGGGAGGATGTCTGGGCAGGGGCCTCTCGTGGCGCCCTGGGGTCCTCTTGGAGGCCTCTGGGGACGTCTTGGGGGCCTCGAAGCGGTCTTCAGAGCCTCTCGGGGCGTCTTGGGTGCCTCCTTGTGGCCTCGGGGGGCCTCTGGGGTGCCGCGTGGGGGCCTCTCGGGAGCTTCTTGGGGGCATCTTGGAAGCCTCCTGGGGGCCGATTGGGGGCTCCTTGGGCCGACTTGGGGCCCTCTTGGGGCCCTCCTGGGGGCCGTCTTGGAGCTATATTGGAGACCGCTTGTTGAGTGGTCTTGGATCATCTTGGGCTATCTTGGTGACATCTTGGCCATCTTGGAAGCCGTCTTGGAGGCCATCCCTGGCCGTCTGGATGCCGAAAAGAGCGTTGGAGAGCAATTGCAGGGGTGATGGTTTGCTGAGGATGCGCGCGGGGAGGAGGGGGTCGGCTTTAGAAAGCAATCGAAAATCTCCCAGACGACAGGCGACCATTCTAACACGCACCCACTCCTTGCAGGCACGGTGGCGGATTACGGTGTCGGTTCTGGTTTCGATGCCGACGCATATTGTTTTCCGTTATGGTGAGCCCTTTTCATCAGCGCTTTCGTCGTCGAGCCAAATCCTCGGGAACGCTCACGGCTCTGCCGTTCCCGGGGCCCACTGAGAGGCGGAGTAGACGCGGTCGGAGAATCGTGCTGCATCGCTGGTGCATCGGCGACGAGGCTGGATTCGGAGCTCGATCTCTGCATATCGGTGTCGCCGATGCATTGGCGATGCGGCGCGACTCTCCTCCCCTATCTACTCAGACCCCGCTTGGGCGGCCTCCATCACCGAACCCAGCCGGGACGATCCCGAACCCAGCATCGGTGTCTGGCCAAGCGAGTACAGCAAGTACAGCGGTCCTCAGCCTGGCATGGGCCCAGCCAGGATCGGTGATGTTTTTTTCCACCATCACCACCATAAGTTGGCGGGGGAGGGGCTCCTCCTCCTCCTCCTCCTCCTCCTCCTCCTCCTCCTCCTCCTCATCCTCATCCTCATCCTCGTCCTCCTCGTCCTCCACCTCCTTCCCCCCTCCAACTTATGGTGGTGGTGGTGGAAAACATGCCCATCAATCGGTGCGGTGGTCAGCTGGCGCCGCCCGCATGGAGCACAACCCGTACGACTTCTACGCCCGCGCGCAGCGGATGAGCATGCTGCTGAGCGATGGCGTCAGCAGAGGGCGCGCGGAGCCGCGGGTCGTGGAGGTCAAGGCTTGAGTGGGGCCTGCCCCTCTACAGGGGGAGTATTCCAAGACGGTCCAAAAATATTCGGGGGACGATTTTTCGACCATTTTCAATAATTTTTGGAGCATTTGGGGGGTATGTGCTACATGCTTCGTCCAAGATCGGCCTGTAGGGGGACGGGCCCGACCTAAGTCAAGGCAGAGATGCAGAGCGCTCTGGACCTGCTGCGGTCGCTGCGCAGCTCCGGAGTGCTGGCGGCAGAGGACCGGGCGACGAGCTCGGCGCACGGCCACCGCCTCCTGGCTGGGCTCCTCCCGGGCCCTCGGGGTCGGTGCGCGTGCCTCCCTGGCCCCCGCTCCTCGGCCCGGGGATCGGGCCCAGCCAGGTGTGAAGCAGTGGTGAAGTGCCCTGGCTCGCAGATAGATAGGCCCACCAAAGAGTGCTCTGAGAAGCTTGTGTGGTCTGCACGAAAGGTTCTCAGAACGTGTCTGGCTGAGACTGTCCTGTTTTCGCACATCGGGTTCATGTTCTAAGAGCACTGTTGTTGTGGTTGTGGCTGTGGTTGTGGTTACGGTTTTGGTTGTGGTTGTGGTTCATTGTTGTTGTGGTTGTGGCTGTGGTTGTGGTTGTGGTTGTGGTTGTGGATGTGGTTGTGAGAGCGTCTGTTGGTTCTGAGAACATTCCGTGATGGGTCTTTTGGAATGCCGGGACGGTCGGTCCATGCTCAGACGAGGCGGTGGACATGAGCAGATCTCGTCGCCCTCGAGGAGGCAGCCTACGCCCTTCAGACCCTGGCGATCCTGGTCTACGAGGCCCCGGCGTACGCGGTGCCAGACCTGCGGGCAGCCGGGATGTTTGCCTCCGCCGCCGAGCTGTACTCGGAGGCTCGGCGGCTGGTGCCCGGGAGCACGCAGAACCTGATGCGGCTGGCTGGCGCCTACAGCGAGTTCAACAAGACTGCCAGCGTGGATACACTTCGACCCTGAAGGCAAGCGCCATGCCGGCGACGACGACGACGAAGCCGATGACGACGACGACGACGACGACGAGGCCCCGCTCGATCGGGCCAAGAGGCCAGGCGACCACACAGCTGCGGTTACAACTGCTGCGAGGGCAAAGTACAACTGCGCTGGCCACACGGTGCGGCGAGCCTTACTTGGCGCACTGTTTAGGAGCTCGTGTATAACGGCTTATTCTGTCTGCGGCAAACCTCGGGAGGCTTCGGGGTCCTCTTAGAGCTCGTTTGAAGCCCTCTTGGGGTCCCGAGAAAACCATTGAAGCCCGCACAGCCCAGAAAGCCGAATCAATTTGAAAGCGCGTGTTTTGCTCATGAGGTTGGCCATATTGAGAGCAGTCGAGGGGGCGTCCTTCGGCCATCTTGAGCCGCCTGGGCAGTCCACGGTAACTTGGACCAGCTGGATTTGCGAACACGGGGGGGTGGGATCAGACAAGCATCTCACATGCCTAGTGACCGCCAGCAGGTGGTGATCCGCGGACTGATTGCAAAGCTCGACCCTCATGACGACACCACACACGTCAACTTGCTCACTCAGCTCATGCTTTCGGGCGCCAGCGAGGGGAAACTCGAACAAGAACTGGACGCGGTGGAGTCGGCATTGTCGACCGACCCTGAGGTCTGCCCCCTGAGGCTGAGCCGCGTGCTGCAGAAGGCCACCCCGCCTGCTGGCCATGCCCTCCACACCTTGGTCCGAAAGCGCAAGGATCGGGCGACGAGAACCACGGGCATGCACCGATACCGGCCAGGTCAATCCTGGGCCCAGGGCCCGTGCAGATCATCCAGGGTCCGGCCCCCCTTCCAATGCTGAGGGGCTCAGCCTCCGACTCCCCGTGGGTGTGGTGTGGTGCTGGCGTGCCCCCTCCCCCCATCCTTTGGGTGTGGTGCAGAGGTCCAGAGGTCATGATCGTCGTCGTCGTCGTGGTGGTGTTCGACGACGCCTTCGACGTCATCAGTGTCGTCGTTGTTCGCATCGTCGTCGTCGTGGTGGTGGTGTTCGACGTCGTCTTTGACGCCATGGTTGTCGTCGTCGTCGCGGTGGTGTTGGTGGTGTTCGACGTCGTCTTCGACGCCATCGTTGTCGTCGTCGTCGTCGTCGTCGTCGTCGTCGTCGTCGTGGTGGTGCTTGAAGTCGTCTTCGACGTCATGGTTGTCGTCGTCGTCGTGGTGGTGGTGGTGTTCGACGTCGTCTTCGACGCTATCGTTGTCGTCGTCGTCGCCGTCGTGGGTGTGGTGTTCGACGTCGTCGTCGTCGTCGTGATGGTGGTGTTCGACGTCGTCTTCGATGCCATCGTTGTCGTCGTCGTCGTGGTGGTGGTGGTGTTCGACGTCGTCTTCGACGCTATCGTTGTCGTCGTCGTCGTGCTTGTGGTGTTCGACGTTGTCTTCAACACCATCGTTGTCGTCGTCGTCGTGATGGTGGTGTTCGATGTCGTCTTCTACGCCATCGTCGACGTCGTCGTCGTCGCCGTGGTTTTGGCGTTCGATGTCGTGTTCGAAGCAATCGTCGTTGTATTCGTCGTCGTCGTGGTGCTTTCCGACGTTGTCGAAGCCATCGTCGTCGTCGTCGTCGTTGTCATCGTCGTCGTCGTCGTCGTCGTCGTGTTGGTGATGTTCGACGTCGTCTTTGTCGCCATCGTTGTCGTCGTCGTCGTCGTCGTTGTGTTTTCGACGTCGTCTTCGATGCCATTGTTATCGTCGTCGTTGTCGTCGTCGCGGTGGTGATGTTCGACGTTGTCTTCGACGCCATCGTTGTCGTCGTCGTCGTCATCATCGCGGTGGTGTTCGACGTCGTCTTCGACGCCATCGTTGTCGTTCGTCGTCGTCTTCGCCGTCGTCGTCGTCATCGTGGTGGTGGAGTTCCACGTCGTCTTCGACGCCATGGTCGTGGGTGTCGTCGGCGTCATCGTTGTCGTCGTCGTGGTGGTGGTTTTCGACGTCGTCTTTGACGCCGTCGTTGTCGACGTCGTCGTGGTGGTGGTGTTCGACGTCGTCTTCGACGCCATCGTTGTCGTCGTCGTGGTGGTGGTGTTCGTCGTCGTCTTCGGCGCCATCGCTGACGTCGTCGTCGTCGTCGTGATGGTGCTCGACGTCGTCCTTGACGCCACCGTTGACGTCGTCGTCGTCGTCGTGATGGTGGTGTTCGGCGTCGTCTCGACGCCACCGTCGTCGTCGTCGTCGTCGCGGTGGTGGTGTTCGACATCGTCTTCGACGCCGTCGTTGTCGGCGTCGTCGTCGTCGTCGTGGTGATGTTCGACGTCGTCTTCAACGGTTGTGTTGTCGTCGTCGTCGTCGTCGTCGTGGGTGTGGTGTTCGACGTTGTCTTCGATGCATCATCGTCGTCGTCGTCGTGGTGGTATTCGACGTCGTCTTCGACGCCATCGTCGTCGTCGTCATTGTCGTCGTCGTCGCCGTCGTCGTGGTGGTGTTCGGCGTCGTCTTCGACGACATCTTCGTCGTGGTCGTCGTCGTCGTCGTGGTGGTGGTGTTCGACGCCGTCTCCGACGCCTTCGTCGTCGTCGTCGTCGTGATGGTGGTGTTCGGCGTCGTCTTCGATACCATAGTTGTCGTCGTCGTCAACGTGGTGGTGGTGTTCGACGTCATCTTCGATGCCATGGTCGTCGTCGTCGTCGTCCCCGTCGTGGTCGTCGTCGTCCTCGTCGTCATCGTGGTGGTGGTGTTCGACGTCGTCTTGGACACCATCGTTGTCGCCGTCGTCGTGATGGTGGTGGAATTCGACGTCGTTTTCGACTTCATCGTTGTCGTCGTCGTCGTCGCGGTGGTGTTCAACGTCGTCTTCGACGCCATCGCCGTCGTCGTCGTCGTCGTCGTCGTCGTGGTGGTGGTCTTCGACGTTGTCGGCGTCGTCGTCGTCGTCGTCGTCATCGTCGTTTCGGTGTTCGACGTCGTCTTCGAAGCCATGGTTGTCGTCGTCGTCGGGGTCGACGTCGTCTTCGACGCCATCGCCGTCGTGCCATCGTCGTCGTCGTCGTCGTCATGTTTTTGGTTTTCGACGTCGTCTTTGACGCCATCGTTGTCGTCGTCGCCGTTGTCGTCGTGATATTCGACGTCGTCTTCGACGCCATCGTCGTCGTCATCGTCGTCGTCGTGGTGGTGGTCTTCGACGCCATCGTTGTCGTCGTCATCGTCGTCGTCGTGGTGTTCGACGTCGTCTTCGATGCCATCGTCATCGTCGTCGTCGTCGTGGTGGTGGTGTTCGGCGTCGTCTTCGACGCTATCGTTCGACGTCGTCTTCGACGCCATCGTTGTCGTCGTCGTGGGGGTGGTGTTCGACGTTTTTTTTTTTTTTGTTTGTTTTTTAGTTTTTATCGTCGTCGTCGTCGTTTTCATCGTCGTCGTTGTCGTGGTGGTGGTCCTCGGCGTCGTCTTCGATGCCATCGTTGTCGTCGTCGTCGTCGTTTTGGTCGTCGTCGTCGTCGTCGTGATTGGTGTTCGACGTCGTCTTTGAAGCCATCGTCGTTGTCGTGGTCGCCGTGGTGTCCGACATCGTCTTTGAAGCCATCGTCGTCGTCGTCGTCGTGGTGTTCGACGTCGTCTTCGAAGTCATCATTTTTGTCGTCGTCGTCGTGGTGATGTTCGACGTTGTCTTCGACGTCATCGTCGTCGTTGTCGTCGTCGTTGTGGTAGTGTTCGGCGTCGTCTTCGACGCAAACTTCGTCGTGGTCGTCGTCGTCGTCGTGGTTGTTGTGCTCGTCGTCGTCTTCGACGCCATTGTTGTGGTCGTCGCCGTCGTCGCCGTCGTCGTCGTCGAAGGTATCGTCGTCGTCGTCGTTGTGGTTGTGGTGTTCGACGTCGTCTTTGACGCCATCGTTGTCGTTGTCGTTGTCGTCGTCGCCATGGTGGTGGTGTTCGACGTCGTCTTCGACGCCATCGTAGTCGTCGTCGTCGTCGTCGTCGTCGTCGTCGTCATCGTCGTCGTCGTCGTCGTCGTCGTCGTCGAAGCCATCATCGTCGTCGTGGTCGCCGCCGTCGTCGTTGTCGTCGTCGTCGGCGTTGTGGTAAAGTTCGACGCCGTCTTCGACGCCAACGTTGTTACCGTCGTCGTGGTGGTGGTCGTCGTCGTCTTCGAAGCCATCGCCGTCGTCGTTGTCGCATCCCCTTGATTCCACGGGTGTTCGACGTCGTCTTCGACACCATCGTTGCTGTCGTCGTTGTCGTCGTCGTCTTCGAAGCCATCGTTGTCGCCGTCGACGTCGTGTTGGTCGTGCTGGCGTCGTCTTCGACGCCATCGTCGTCGTCGTCGTCGTTGTTGTTGGTTGTGTTCGACGCCGTCTTCGACCCCATCGTTGTCGTCGTCGTCGTTGCCGTTGTCGTCGTCGTTGTGGTGGTCTTCGACGCCGGCTTCGACGCCATCGTCGTCGTCGTCGTCGTCGCCGTCGTCGCCGTCTTCGCCGTAGTCGTCCTCGCCGTCGTCGTCGTCGTCGTCGCATCCCCTGCATCCCACATGTGGGGGTTGGCGCGGGCCTTCGATCCCCGATCATGCATGCTTTCCCTGCCAGGCCGGGCGGGCGCGTGCACCGATTCTGGGCCCAGCAGTGGCTCGGCATGGATCGGCGGGCACAGCCCCCCCCTTCCTCAAGGGCGCCCTAGAGGGCGGAAAGCTCTCGCGCTTCGCGCTTCGCAGTACGGCTCAGATTCCTCCTCGTCCTCCTCTTCTCCCCTGGCGAGACGGCGCGAGAGCGCGAAGGTATTCGCGCTTCGCGCGGAGCGCGAAGTCCGGCGCCCTTGCTTCTTTACAGAGGAATCTTGCCACCGCTGCCGCAACGACACGGAGCAGGTCGAGGACCTCGAGCAGCTGCTGCGGAGCCCCGCTGGGGCGGCCCCTGGCGGCCCGGGGGCGGCGGCCCTACACCGCGCCGCCCTGCACGCTCTCGTCGAGGGAGCCATGGACTTCCAGCGCCCGCTGAGCTTCAAGCGCCTCCGTCGCCACGCCATGGAGGCCGTGAGGCTCGGCGGCGGTGCAGAGGACACTCTTCAGCTGGCCATCGTGGAGGTCGTCACGGGTCGCAAGAAGAGGGCGAGCGCGCTGATGAGCCAGCTGACCCCGCAGGACCAGGAGTACGTCTACTTCCGCTCGGGCACGATCCTGTCCAGGGCCGCTGGTCCTTGGGAGGCCGCGCACGAGGCGTACGAAGAGGCCCGCAAGAAGTTCCCTCATGTCGGGTGTTGCCAGAGGTGTCCCTGGCCCAGAGTGCTCCAGGATTCCAGTGGAGGCCCAGCTGGCCTCCACGGCTCCCCTCGGACGGCCTGGAGGGCCCCGGAGGCCTCGAGATGGGCGCGAGAAGCTGGGTACGACCCTGGGCCACAGGACGAACCACTGGCAACATCCGAGCGGAGCCCCGTCCTGGCCAACGCGCACGGGATCGCCGCCTACCGCCGCAGCGGCGACCACACGCCCGCGGGCAGGCTCGTGGCGGTGGAGGCCCTGCGCGCCGCAGAGGCGCTGTCGGTGGCGGCCTTCCCCGCCGCGCTCGGGCGCCGCATGGGCTGTGCGCCCGCGCCCGCCGTGCACTACGACTGGGGCTCGGCGCCGGCGGTGGCGAGGCTGGAGTGGGCCCAGCTGCCCCGCTCCGCCGGGTCGTACGGGCAGGAGCGCCCCCGCCGGTGGCGGGGCGCCCTGGACGCGGACTACACCTGGGGCCCCCTGCGCTACGAGGAGAGGGAGGCGTTCGTGGCGGAGCTGAGGGGCGTGGCGCTCGTGGCCCACGTGATCCTGGACGGCCAGTGCAACGTCTACGCCACACAGCACGGCGAGATGATACAGTACAGCAGGGTGCTGGAGGCGTTCGAGAATCATGAGGCCAGAGGGCCCCAAGACGGCACGACCATGAATTGTCGGAGGTCCGGGCTGATCTCTC